GAGGAAGGGGACTCTGTGTTTTCTTAGGGGCTAAGCAGAGGGGGGCCCACCGCCACCCCCACCCGCCCCCCCAACCATTCATCCAGTAGCACCCCACTCGCCGCCCCTCCCCTCAGTAAAAGGAGATCTTTGTGTGTTTGCGTTGGAGAAGCTGCCCCAGTCAGTCCCAATGTTCCCAGAGGAGCACAATGAATGGGAGCATTTTGTCCTACTCCAAAAAACCCACACAACACACACACACAACACACACACACACCTTTCCTCTTCTTCTTCTTTTTTGGGGGGGTGGTGTTTTCAGCCATTCGGACTCGTTTTTCCTTCTCGCCTCGGCATGTCACAAGACATCAGACTTCTTATCTTTATGGGAGCGTTTGTACGTATGTGTGTGTAGAAATGCCCCAACAGTGCAACAGCCACCAGTGTGCACGGCTGGTGCCTCAATCGATATCGATCTTCTTTAGGGTGATGTAAACGACTCGGTCCGAAGAGCCAGTCAGCTGATAAACACGTGAAGTCAAGTTAAAAATCTGTAACTGTGGCTTATTAAGACGAGCAGCAGCAAACATGGAATAGACAGACTTAATTTTTTTTTTTTTTTTTGCTAAGCACACGTTTTTCCATTTGTGATTAAAATAGAGGAAAAAACAAATGTTTGGATGTAATAAGCATGACAGGCTCTGCTTTCTACAAGCCTGATGATGTGGACTAATATGAGCTTGAATCCATCATCAAAACCGTAACACTGAAACGATTAATTGGATTAATCATGAATAATCCAATTAATTGCCTTAATTGTGAATTATCCAATTCACCGTGATTAATCTGGTTAATTGTGACAAATCAGCTATTGAAATAATTAACAACTAATTTACTAATCGATTAATCATTAACTGGAGTATGCAAAATCCAAAAAAAATTAAAAGTGTGGGCAGTTTGCTGAAAAGAACAACATCTTGAGAGCGGTAATTCATCCAAACTGTACAAAATATAAGTGCATTTTCTATTTAACATTAAAACATCTTTGTCTGTCAGTGTGTTTTCTGTTAGTCAAATTCACTTAAGGAATGGCGTGTTGTTGCAATTTAGGCCATAAAATGTTTATTTTCTTATTTAAAAAAGGAATCAAATTGATTGTTTCCATCTTTTGATGTCTTTCTTGTGTATTGTGGAAAAAAAGGCGTGAAGATCTTAAAGTAAAACTAGGAAAATGTGACAGTTTTTGGACTGATTGATAAATTAATCAATCAATCAGAGTGATTGATTGATGAGTTGATTGCTAAAATAATCAATCATTGCTGCCTTCGTCTCTTAAACGCACTGTCACTAAGCAGAAAGAGGAAAATCCATAAAAGCCTCTGATAAACATGTTGTAAAAAGCCTTAAAATAAACTTAGTTTGTTGCAGTAGCATAATGTGACACTGAAAATGCCAGATAACTTCCAACCTGTTGTTTCTCTGCACTGTAAGGATGTAAAATCTGTCAGGACCTGACAGTTTTTGATACCTGTGGTGATTTAAACGCCATCAGGAGTTCAGAGATTTTAGGACACTCAGAAATGCCGACTGTCTGCTGCACACAGTGGGCTGGAAGTTGAAGAACAATAACAATAAACCTTCAAAGCTCACATTTATTGAATCATGATGCAACATCACAGTGCAATATCGCAATTACAACATTTGTATGATATTATTCAGGCTGATTATGATGTCAGCGAGAAATATTTGACCAATGATTGAACGAACTCCAGCAGCAATATTCACCAATACTGTTGCAGAGAAATATTTTCATATTCCACTTGCCATCTAACTGAATATGGATTTTGATCAGATGGTGTGTTTGGGGTCAAACAGAAAAGCTTCCCAACCCCACTCTTCAGTAAAGTAGGGGACGTGTGATGCAGTGGGTGTGTTTTCACTTGCCTTGGTCATCTTTTGGAACTTACTCTATCTGTAAACTTCCCATTGGGTCGATGTAATGAGCCAAAGTGGAACCTGACCAGAAGAGAGCAGTTTTCATTATGAAAGAAAACAATCCCCCCCATATGAATAAATAAACTCAAATTCCGGCCGTATTTATTTCAACATTTTCATTCCGCCGCCAGAAAAGATTCATACTTCTGCTGCAGCGTCAACAAGCCGATCATCTATAAATATGGGGTACTCGTTCATCTCGCAGATCAAAAGGACATACATATATGCATTCATAGATAAATAAGTGTTGGCATTATTAATTTAAAGTCCAATTACTTTTCTGTTGATCTAATTATTAATCAGATGATAATTCTGGCTCTTCAGAAGGCTGGGAGCAGAGCGTCTCTGTTTAGTCATGCTGTTTAAACCTCCCTGCTGCATACGGGGTCGCCCCAGAGGGGCAGCGGCGCGGCAGGGGTCTGGGGATCGGCGGAGCTCCGGCGGCTCGTTATGAAGGCCACCGACGGGTCAGTGGGGCCCTCAGCGGAGGGGCTTTGGGTCATCAATGAATGGCAGTAAAAGAGACGAATAGAGGGGGAAACACACCGAGGACAATGTTTTGTTTTTTTAAAAGGACTTAGCCATGTTGAGGTTTTAGCAGCAAAAGCACAAAATGCTTAGTTTGAAAATGATCAAATGTGATTCACTAGGAAAGGGAGAGAGAGAAAAAAAAAGAAACTGCAGGGCCGGAACAAGCTTTTTTGGGACCTGAGTCAGATTTTCACCCCCCACCCCCACATACACACATACCAAGATGTCAACAACAGATGTTTTACAATTCCTAAGATTATCTATGTGACGATGTGAACGATAGAGTTGTATCATTTACTACTCCATGTATGCAAATGATACAAATTGACGCTAAAAATTTGATAGCATCAATCTCGGCTTGGCTCATCCCAGTGTTATCATGGCTGTTGCTTTTAGCCTTACAGGAGTTGGATTTTGGATTTTGAAATGCAGAGAGGTATTTAAATATGCCGTCTGATTTTAACTATTTAAAGTAACACCAGCTGATGAACATTAAATTTACAGTAAGCAAGTTAACAAGTTTCCTCAAAAGCAGCCAATGTAATAGCATTTAGCTTGCATTTTTAAATGTTATTTTAAGCTTAAATACATATAAAGAGAGAGAGAGTAAAACTCCTCAGCTCATATCTAAGGCATTCCTAGTTAACATTTTATCACTTTAGGCCTTTAGGCTGTTGTTGAACGTCTTTCAGGTGAAAAACTCACAAACGAGATGGGTGAGTAAAAAGAGCAAGAGGCACAAATGGTGTCTGTTTCTTTTCTTCTTCTTTTTTTCCTCACAAGTCAGACAAAAATTAATGAAAAGAGAAAAGGATGAGATAAAGGGCAAGAGGGAAAGTACAGACTGTTGGTTTAACCCTAATAGACTCCCGCAGGGTCATCTTTGATACGCTGCCTTCAGTCGGACCCGCCAGCGCCGTAACTCAGGCAAACAAGCAGTTTTAAAAAGTCTTTCAAGCAGACATGAAAGGCAGCTTCTTCACGCTCGCCGTTGTTGTTCAGGCATTTGTTCAACGCTTTTACACTCACCCCTCAAGAACGTACGTCTTCATTTGTTGCTTGGCTTCCTGAAGTCTTCATTCAAACTTTTAAGGCTCGAGCATTTTTACACGATGTACCATTGATTGATATTCTTTATTTTTTGTAAGGCTCTTTTTATGTATATGAATCTTCATTTTCCATCTTGATGTCTTGAATTGTTTGTTTTGTTTTTTTTGTTCGTGCATTGGTGCTTTTTCTTTCTATTTTAATTTTTTTCATGCATGAGACTTTCTCCAAAACTAAAAGCACAAAAACAGACACATACAGCCAATTAATTTCAGGTACAAAGCCTGCTTTGAAAATATTTATTAGGCACAAAATGTAGTGAAGTCTTTATTTAGTCTGATATATGTAGGACTTTTAAAAGCTTTCACTAATAAAACGAAGTAATTAATCGGTAAGTGGTTCACAAAGATAGAGCTAAAACCTGAAATGAAATGACAATTAGTAGAATGAAAAAAAGTTCTTCGGGAAAAACTCATGTCATTAAAAAAGTCTTCAGGTATCTGAAGTTGAGTGCATAAAGACAGTGGAGGGTTAGTCTGCAGACGTTCATATCTTGCTCTTGGAAGTGTGAAAAACGTTCTGCGGGTGGAGTTTGAGGTTTTGATCCCAACAATCCAGTGGTGGAAGGAAAAGCTTGACCTAGTGAGGATCTGCTGCTGGTTCCAGTTTGATGTTTTACTGCAGAGTTTTGAACCCACTGAAGTTTCTCGAGGATGCTTTTTGTTGATACACATGAGAACTGCACTGCAGTTGCTTCGTTGACTATCTCAAGCTCCTGCTTCAATACCAACCCTCTTAGTTCGGCAATATTTCCATAATACTGTAATCTTGTTAAACGACACCTATTCTTCTTAAAGTCAGAATTTGAAAGCCTGGTGTTGGCAATGAGGCATTTAGTCGTCTTAAAGTCCGGTTGGATGGCGTTTTGTTTTGTTTTTTCAACCAGTTTGTAATTTCACTTTTACCCTTCAGGAACTGACAGTGTGAAGAAGAACGGTATTTGCATCTGCAGAAAAGTAACGGGACATTTTTGTTATATTTATCTGTCATCTATCCGAGGCGTATGTGTTCAGCATAAAAAGACCCGGGCCCAAACAGAGCCTTGGGGTACGCCACATTTAAAAAGCAACCAGATTAAAGCAGATTCTGCTTCTCCAATAAAAGGTGAATTCTTTTGAAACAGAGCCTTTCTAAGACAACGCTTTAGATTGAAAAAGTTCTTATTAAACCAGCAAAAACAAAATTACAAGCCATGCACACTTTTAGAGTTTCTATTTGAAATGTGTTGGAGTAAATTTAAGTTGGGCTAAAAAAATGGAACAAAATCTCCAGTGAAATTGTTGAAGTCGGTAGCAACTGTTTGTGGCGTCGGAGGTGCTCGCAAACGTGTTTTCAGTTTCTTTCTCAAGCTTTGGCCTCAGCCTCTCCCTCTTGGTCCGACTCCCCCTCAGGTCCAGGGTCACATGCCTCCTCTGATGATCCCCCTGTTCCCACACGACCAGCGCTCTCTGGCTGCCGCCGCCGCCGCACAACAAGGCTTCCTCTTCCCGCCCGGCATGTCCTACAAGCCAGGTATATTTATGTGCACCTCCCCTCCTCTACCCCTCACCCTCCAACACACACACACACCCACACACACACACACACACACACACACACACATACACACACACACATTCTAGTTGACAGTAATGAGGTGTGTCAGGTAAGGAATGTTCTGGAAATGAGCGGAGAGATTTACAAGCTCCGCTTATTCACTTCAGGATCAATGCATTTGGACACAGAGCCGACTGGAACATCTCTTTCGTGGCAACCGCAGAGCATGTCAGTCGCTCTGCACATCTGCAACGAGGAATTTCTCACACACACACACACACACATCCACCCACACACATACACACACACACACCCCGTCCCCCCATCGCATCCACCGACTGGACATTTGTAACTGGCCACGGCGAAATCAGGAACAAGTCTCATCGGGAGGCGTCTTGAGTTATTTACTGATTCTGAAAATGTGTATTCTGAAATTTTTAATGATGTCAAACACAGAATTTTATTTTATTTTTTTTTAAATGAGGGAGATGTGGCTGTTTCAATGTTGGCACTCTGCAAAAACGATCAGTGAGGAAGCAGGTCTCAAAGTTTCAGAAGAATTCCCCCCAAACAGGCGTTTAGTGACCTGGGTTATGGTGATGAGCTGCTGATAAGTAGCCATGTGTTTCTGGCTCACGTCAATCTTATTAGACGGACGGATGGATAGCTATATGGACATACAGATGGATAGGTAGTCCAGTACCACACAATCTAGATAGACACAAGATGTATGCCTTGCCAAATTTGGAGCTAATTTGTGAAGAAAACCAGGCAGACATTTCACTGACTCGATGTGCAACGCTGGCACAGACATCCGCTAACAGACAGATGCAGATGGTTGCACACAACATTAGTTCGGGAGAGATGTATGCAGATAGATGCCACACTTTTCAGACACTTATTTGGAAGAACAAACTTTGACAGCTCTATATCAGTTTCCTTCCACGTCACAATGACTTATTTGCTTTTGTTTTGTGAATGAAAGAAAACTCACCAAATCACGTCTAACTTTGCTGTGGATTGTGACAAAATGTGAAGGTGTTCAGAGAACATGCTGACCACCTGAAAGTGAAAACTCGATGAAGGAAGGCGCACACGTAGCGTGTCGCGGCACATCTCTCTCTCCAGCTCGACCTCCGCAGCACGTCTGCGGCCACACCCTCACGCAAAGTCACGCACAATTTGCAATCTTGTTTTTGCAGGATCCCACGCGCCACCTGCTTTCTTTGCGTCTCCCTCGTCCTTCGCATTCCTCCCCCCCTACATTCCTCCGGGCGCTCGCCTGACACAGGTTAGCGGCGAGCCTCCGCGGTTCGTATCGGTAAAGTCGGACGCAAGGCTGCAAACAGAAAGAAAAAGTAATAAAACTAAAAAGAAAAAGGCGTTAAAACGCCATCGCTGTGCACTCTGTTTTTTTTTTTTTTTTTTTTGCTTCGATCTGTTTTTAACAAAGACCTGGACATGAAAAGCCTTTTAAGGACAAACAGTAGGGGTTTATACATGGCACTCGCTTATGAGCTGGTGAGTGCATCCCATTGAGCGGGCTCCGCTCAGCCCCGTCTCGAGCACTTATGTGTGCAGACAGTGAGTCTTATTAACCTCTGAATAAAGCATTCCTGACCCTTTGTGTTTATGTATAAAAACATGAGCGGGGGGAAGGAGACAAAGCAGCGAGACGGAGAGAACGAGACGGGTCTGAAGGTAAAGAGCAGGTTTGTTCTTGTGCTGAACTTTGTCCCCACCTCTCTCTGCTAACACGCGTCGTCTCTGGTTGTTCACCAGGTGAGAATTACCCAATGCAGTTCATTCCGTCGACAATGGCAGCCGCGGCGGCCTCTGGACTCAGCCCGCTACAGCTGCAGGTAAGAGGGCAACGCCTTGACACTCCATTGAACCAAAACCTCATCAAAATGTTTTAAAATATAAATTGACTCTTTTTTTTTCTTTTTTTTTTTAAATCTGAATAAAGCAAGGCTTTATGTAAAATTGCACAAAGACAAGGACTTTGTAATAGAGTGGTGGCAGATAAGAGCATGGACTGGTGATTGAGTGAGATATAGTCGAATTAACTTGGAAGCATTTTTTCAGCTGGTGATAAAACAGCATCTGTCAAAGTCGACAATCCAAAACTTTTTTTTGTTACTATACCAAAAAAGAAAAATGGCTGACGAAGCAACCAAACCAGATGAGTGACTGGATATAATGTTTGACATTTATAAAATTGAAAAAGACATAACAGCCTTTTTCAATCACAAAACCAAACAATTAAGCTTGTTTTGGAAAAACAGGGTGAATCACGTCACTGTGAAACTCAGAAGGTCTGAGTTTAGTTTAGTTAGAGACCAAGTTTGATAAAACCGCCCTGATAATACACTTTATCACTATTTAGCATTATGATTTTAGTTTGTATATTTGTACCTATTTCTTACTATTTGATTAATATTTGTACATGTCTTCCACATTGTTCTATTTTGCATTTTTAATGTTGTAATCTTTCCCTGGGAAGTAGGGACGCTTGTTTTATTTACCATTTCCTTTTTCGGTATTGCAATTTGCAATATGACATTGTATTGTTTTAGTAAAGTTTACTTCTTTGGGAATCAATAAAAAAAAAGTTTAGAGACATGTTCTGCTGTTGATTTAAAACCAATCCCATTTTGTTTTTGACAGACACTAAACCAAGTGCAGAGTCGATCTTTATAAATCCCATTGCTCCAGCTGGAAAACAGCAAGACCAGCGTCTGTATTTTCAAACTAATTCACCAGGACAGCTAGTAATTTCTCAAAATACTTGCTGTATTACTAAATATATAGGTATACTTATATACTTGTATATGGGTGGTCAGGAAAGGCTCTGGTCTGTTGGTGAAGTGAGCAGCAGAGCGGAGCAGAGACACATGCAGTGTTGTTCCGGAGTTACACGTATTTACATGCACTATATGGACTGAGGCAGAAGCAAGTGACCTTGAACCAAATAGTTTCTAATTGTGAGCATGTACCTCGCACTTAGAGGAAGTTCGGTGTCAGTACTGCTGGAACTTGTTGCCATGTTGTTTGGTAAGATACCTTCTCTTCTCAGTCATCTTCATCTTGTCAACAGAAGAGTCTCCCAGAGAAATGGCAGTCTTTAAGTTGATTTGTTTTGTTGTTGTATTAACATTTCATCAACCAAAGCTTTCAGAAATGTTATTTTTGGCAGAGGAATTTGCTTTCACACATAGTAACTGGAGCGATAACCCTTTATCAGGCCATTAAATGTTGACCTAATCTTAGCAAATACAGCAGCTTCAACTCTTCTGAGAAAGCTTTCACAAGGATTTGGAGGTCATTTAAGGAAAATCTTGGCCATCCTCATTCATACTTTTAGAATTATTTGAATTTTATTCACATGTGGTCATGGAAGTGATTGAAACTTGAACTCCATGATGTGGAGAGTTGACCCAGTATGTATTGCACTATCATGCATTGAGCATCTGAGATTTTATTTTGCTATAAACAATTTGCAGGGATTTTGTTTTGACAAGTTGTCTGTTCGGGATATCTAAACTTTAGAATCCAAATCACTGTAATAATCGAAATGTTACATTTTTTTTGCAGAGACAACATAAAATTGGTGTTATACACATGTTTGCCAACATTGCGATAATGCCGAAGCCTATCTTCTTCCAATACTGACGCCTTAATCATCATTTATATGAAGTACAGTTTCGGAAAACTAAGTTTAAAGGTTGTGTTTTTTGAATGTTGGAAATGTCAGCAATGACCTCAAACCAGTTGTTAAACAACTATTTTTGATTGGAAGGACTGGAAGAGAATAAACTAAATAAAACTCAGGTTCATGTTAACCTTGTCCTGAGGTGAAGAGGGCACAGCACCAAAAACCTTGTGTTTTGTGGTTTACAGAGAGGCTTTGTGTTGCCTTCAGGGACAACGTCGTTGGAAAGGACGTGTAGAATGGCACAAAATAAATTAAATTCAACTATATCTTGTACAACAGCAAGTAGAATAATTTCATACCAGAAAATGTAAAAGGGCTGATGCAGTTTGGTGCGTATAACTGTGAGTTCTCTGCGGATGAGCCGGAGCTCTGGGTTTCCCGTTATGCTCTTTCTTCTGCTCAGCTCACTCTGCTGGACACTGAGATGGAGAAGAAGGAGGATGAGTTTGTTTCTGTGTTGATTTGGATTGTTCCACTGTTAAAAGACCTGATGGTGACTGAGTGTCTATTTACCGTTTTAAAGGACCTGTCATACACACACACTCTTCAACACATCATGCTCCACCGTATGTTAACAGTGGGGCTTAGGTACCTTCTCCATATTCATCATTGTTGCCAAAAAGCTCCAATATACAGTTAAAACCAGAAGTTCACATACACTGAATACACTTGTTTCTCTCCCGGTTTGAAGTTAAATCAGAGCAAACGTCTCTTGTTTGAGCTCCGTTAGAATTACCCAGAGTATTTCCATTTGCTAAATTTGACAGTATTGAGCGACAGAATATGGCAGAGATTTGTTTATGAATGTCTTCAACATAAAATGTTTACATAAGAATGGCTACTGTCTCTTCAAACAGTGAGGGGAAGCCCAGATGATGATGTCACGGCTTTGGAAACCTCTGATAGGTTAACTGACACTTTTGAGTTAAATGGCGGCTCGCCTCTGGATGTATGTTAAGGTGCTCTGCTTTCTGGTTTGACATGATCGGAAAGTCAAAAAACATCGGGCAAGTTATCAGGAAGAGAACTTTGAGTAACAAAGTCTACGTTTTGGTGTGGCCATCGCAAAGTCCTGACCTCTGATCCGTAAAGGTGTGAGCCAGCGAAGCGTCACAAAAACCTGATTTGTTAAACCTCGTTTACTCCAGTTCTGTTAGGCGGAATGGCCCTATCTTATTCAGTTATTTTTATTTGTTGTTTTTGGCGGCGGGGGTCGCCTGTCTGCACTCTGCCTCGTTTGTGTCTCCTGGGCTTCCATCGTTCGCTCCAGCCCTCGTAGCTCCTCCCCTTTTCCCCGCACAGCGTCGTTCGGCGCTGCTGCGGGGCTGGAGTGCAGGGAGAGTGAGTTGAAGAGGAGGTGGATTTGTTTTCACTCTTCTCCCCCAGAATAAAAGATCTCAATGAAGCCTGGCTGAATGACCTCCAGAAATTCATTGATGCCACCCATTACATGAGGTCAAGCCATTGGAGGAACACATCTGAATATATTCTGCACATCTTCATCAACGGCGGCTAATGAAACTGTCTGCAAGAACACAATCCCATCATCTGCATAGCGTGACGCTTGAAGGCTATTGTTAAACTCAAGAGCTGATATTGATGGATATAATTATGAAAGAGGACCTTGGGATTTACACAAAGTTTAACATTCATAACGGCAGCATGGTTAACAGGTTGACAAAAGGCAGCTTAAGAATTCAACACCACTCTGATCTCTGTACAATATGCTAGCTTGATCTCCTGTGCTCTGCTCGAAATGTTCCTGAAGAACTTTTTTTTCTTCCCCTTTTAAGTGGAAAGTACAATCGGGAGCTGGAGGGCCCCCAGCATGCATGAATTGGCGCAGGTTGCAGCTTTCCTCGTGTTTTCTTTTGACGCTTAGCGGCGTTCCAGGAGCTCTTTAAGACAACATGACACGGCGTTTGAAGATAGAGCTGGGTGGACCGACGCTAATAGGTTATCCTCCTTACTCGCTGCCTGTCAGTTGTATCAGACAAAAGCCGCAATGATGACTGACGGAGGAATTCCACCCCACCAGCACAACACCTGGCCCCGGCAATTCATCACATTTATTCAACGGCTCCCTGACACCTGTGGTTTGAAAATAGCACTTATCCCTAATAGTTATCATACAACATGTTCGCAAGGCTAAAGGATTGTGCAAAATGAAAAATAGGGGATAGAAGAAGAAGAAGAAGAAGAAGAAGAAAAAAAGCAGATCTGCTCTCTGAAGGCGGTTGAGATCTTGACAAATCGAGCCTTCCTGCTTTACCTACACAGGAAGGACAAAAATCCTTAAGAAAAAGTTTTTTTTTTTTTTTATTTCACTCTCCAACAATACAGCTTCATCATTCCACTCGTTACCGTAGCATGGCTTTTAGATGTCACAAGAATCTTTATCTCACTTTATTCAATTTGCATTGTGGCTCTCGTTTATCGGAGAACTCATTAGCCGCTATTGACTTAGCAAAGCGCCGCGCTTCGCCGCGGGGGTGTCGGAGCCCTCCTGTCTCCCACTCCTGGCTTTGAAATGATCAAAAGGAGCCGCACGGCGCGCGAGAGGTAAAGAGGGCGCGTGATGTCAGAGGCGCAAACGTCGCTCACATTCAAGACGCTCGCAGAGACCGAGAGGCGGCGAGGAACCTGAATGAGAGAGGAAGCTTCTCATCAGGCAGAAACCGAAAAAAAAAAAAGGGGAAGAAAGGCGGGGAGACAGGGAGAGCGGGGAAATGTTTAGGATGGAATAAACGGGATTGTTGGGGGATTTTGTGTGTGTGAGAGGGAGAGAGAAGCAGGCAGTGGCTTCCAGCATGTTTGGACATTGTTTATACAGTATCGCTTTTGTTGAAAGTGATCATGATAAGACTCTGACGATGAGCCTCTTTTTTTTTTTTTTACTTTACAGCAAATAGAAAATTATAGAGAATAACATTTGCACATCATGCAAATAACATTCCTGACTTTATTTCTGACAGAATTATGACTTTAATCTCAGTATTCTCCCAGAATTGATTTCTCTCTCAAGCTCATAATTACGGTGCTACTTTATTATTAGTCTTTCTTTTTTAATTATCAGTTCTAGTGTTTATGTATCAGAACCTAATAAAACTGATTGTGGCGATGTGTGGGGTAGTGGTACCGTGG